GACCAATGAAACAGAATAATAATCCAGAAATAAACCCCAAAACATACAACCAACTGATTTTTGACAAAGGGCCTCAGTCAATCCAGGGGGGAAAAGAAAAATCTCTTCAGCAAATTGTGCATGAAAAACAGTATTCACTTGCAGAAAGTTGAAATTGGATCCCTATCTCTCATCATTAACAAAAAATCAACTCAAAATGGATCAAAGAGCTAAACCTAAGGCCTCAAACGCGATGGAAACTCTTGCATTGTGTTGCAAAGATTGGATAATGCAACAGAAACTCTTGTATTAGAGTTAAAGCAAGGTGGATAATGCAATGAAAACTCTTGGAGAGATTGGAGCAGGCAAAGACTTCTTAAATAAGACCCCTAATGCACAAGTAGTAGTCCCAAAAATAGATAAGTGGGATTACATCAGGTTAAAAACCTTCTGCTCCACAAAAGAAGCAATAATTAGAGTGAATCAACAACCCTCAGAATGGGAGAATATATTTGCAAACTTTGCCTTAGCTAAGGGACATAGTCAGAATATACAGGGAACTAAAAGCAGCTTACCTAGAAAAAAAGAAATGATCAACCTCATTAAAGTATGGGCAAATGGGGACCAGCAGTTGGTGTAATGGCTATGTCGTTAGACTCCCATGTAGTTGACCATGGTTCAAGTCTCAGACCCGGTGACTTAAACTCATGCCAGGTGCGTGTGTGTGCATGCCCAAGATCATGAGAGGAGAATGGAGGAGAAGGGATTGTGGCATGGCCAGCCTCCTGGGCGGGGGGTGATTTCTCGCTTTCTGTCTCTCTATCTCTCTGTCTTTCTGGCAAGCACATACGCCCTATAGCAAAAATATCTCAAAAAAAATTATGGGAAAATGAGCTGAACAGACAGGTATCTAAGGAAGACATACAAACAGCCAAAAAACACATGAAGAAATGCTCAAAATCCCTTATCATAAGGGAAATGCAAATCAAAACCACAACAAGATACCACCTAACCCCAGTTAGAATGGCTACAATTAAAATAATAAAAAATGAGAAGTGCTAGTGAGGCTGTAGTGTACACTGTTGGTGGAAATGCAAATTAGTATAGCCACTGTGGAGAACAATATGGAGGTTCCTCAAAGACCTACAAACAGAACTACCATTTGACCCAGCAATTCCACTCCTGGGTATCTGCATAAAGGATAGGAATAGACTCAGTGGGAAAAGTACTTGCACATCCACATGTATTGTGGCATTATTCATAATCGTTAATACATGGAACCAACCAAAATGTCATGTGATGCTGACATGAGGAATTAAAAGAAGCTTCTTTTTTTATTATTTATTCATATTTTTATACATTGATAGGTTATAAAATGAAGCTCTCTCCAGCCACAAGGAGTGGTCTAAGGATGCCCTGGAAGCTGGAACAGCCCAGGGACATCCTGAGAACACTACATAGGTGGGGACACCATACATCTCAGCAAAGGCCTGGCTGACAACTTAAATTCCATCCATAAACACCTGGAGAGTATTGCAGATCACCACTCAATAAGTCGCTTGTTGCTGCATCTCAACTGGGGGACATTGGAAAGAATGCCTAGCTAAGCAGTCTGCTCACACATCAGTGATGGCTTTTGAGCCTAATATTTGAGGCTTGCACCTGAAACTGCTGGTGATTTTTTTGTCCTCTGTGACTGATTACATCAGACTTGCTTCTCCCACAGGGAGTCCTATGGGCTTCTCAGCATGGCTCATTGATCTGCTCCAGAAGGAGTCTGCCCATCTCTTAAAAATGCCTCCAAGTCAGGGAACCAGCAGTTAGCGTAATGGCTATGTCGCTGGACTCCCACATAGTCGACTGCGGTTCGCGTCCCAGACCTGGTGGCTTAAAACTCACACCGGGCGCATGTGCGTGCGTTCCCAAGATCTCGAGAGGATAATGGAGGAGAAGAGATTGCGACGTGACCATCCCCCCTGGGGGGTGATTTCTCCCTTTCTGTCTCTATGTCTCTCTCTGTCTGTCTGGCGAGCACAGGTGCCCTATAGTGAAAACCTCTCCAAAAAAAAAAAAAAAAAATGCCTCCAAGTCCTTTCAAAGTCAGTCTTGTACATGCCACCACCTATGAATTTAAGTCTCACATCACAAACACAGATTTCAAATCTGGTGAAAATTCAACCAGATATTTACACATGATGTGATGACAAATAGAAATGTACTGCATTTGTATCTGTTATTCAAAAATCTCAGTGCTAGTTTATTTTTATGTACTAAATTCTTTTTTTTTTTTTTTTTGGGGGGGTTTTTTTTTTTTTTTTTGTTTTTTTTTTTTTTTTTTTTTTTTTGTTTTTTTTTTTTCTATAGGGTGCATGTTCTCACCAGAAAGACAGAGAAAGACAGATTAAAAAGTGAGAAATCACCCCCCAGGGGGGATGTCCACACCCCAACCCCTTCTCCTCCATTCTCCTCTTGGGATCTTGGGCACGTATGCTCACACGCCCACTGTGAGTTTAAGCCACCAGGTCTGGGACTCGAACCGCGGTCGGCTACATGGGACTTCAGCAACATAGCCAATACACTAACTGGTGGTCCCTGTACCAAATTCTTCAGAGAGCAAGTACTGAATGATCGTTCAGAATTTCCTTCCCTGCTCCCTTTCTTCCTTCTCCTCTTTTCTTTATCCCCTTCACTTCTACGTCATGTTTTCTTGTTCTCTTTCTGTCTTCCTTCTTCTCGTTATCCCTTAAACACCTATGTTGTAGGTGGTTAGCCTACAAAGAATTGGTGCACTTATCTATTTCCATTGCTGCCATCACTTTAGGCTGGGTGGAAGGTCTCAATCCCCAAACCCTCTTCCTACCTACCATTTTTGCACAGAAAAATACATGATGACTTTTCCAATGACCTAATATATTTATTACGCATAGTACTAAGACTCCACTGATGATAGCAGACAAATGGTAAAACAGTGTCCTCTGGACAGGAGAATCCTCTTCACTCACTCCTATCCCACCCCTACCACAGCTCATTCACAATGTTCCTGAGGGAGGGAATCTGGACTGACCTGCTCATTTATTTACCAGGAACTTTTATTGTCTACATCAGTGTCTCTAAATTTTTAAATTGTAACATTTTTTATCCTTCCCTTCAATGTAAGTATGGGTAATCTCCAATTTACAATGGTTTTACTTTAATTTTTCACCTTCGCAATGATACAATATACAACGATATACATTCAGTTGAAACCATACTTTGACAGGTGCTGATGAGACTTGTGAAAAGGGAACCCTCCTATACTGCTATTGGGAATGTAAATGAGTACAGCCACTAAGGAAAACAATATGGAGGTTCCTCAAAAACTTAAAAATAGAACTACCATATGACCCAGTAATCCTACTCCTTGGTATTTACCCAAAGGATAAGAAAACAGTCAGAAAGACATTTGCACTTCCATATTTATTGCAGCATTATTCATAATTGCTAAGACATGGAATCCACCTAAATGTCCAAGAACTGATTAATGGATCAGAAAACTGTGGCATATATACAGGGTGAAATACTACTCAACTTCAAGGAACAATGAGACCCTATCATTTGATTCAAAGTGGATGAACAGAGAAGACTGGATGCTAAGCAAAGAAGCCAGACTATGAAAGACACACTATATGTCCCTGCTCAATATACACCAAATATCTGTACACTGTGACAGAAATCAAAAGATTCAAAGATATAATAGTAGGGAGTACAAGTGTGGATACCAGGGACAGGAGGGGAGAAAGGTAGATAGAGGAGAGTGAATGGCAGGGTTCAGGGAAGAAACACTTAACAGACACAAGAATGTAAAATTCTCTGTTGAGAATCATGTGATCAGATTGTCACATATTGATAGCATGCATGCTTTGAAAAACCATATTGTGCACTATAGAGATGTACAATGATGGAGTGAAAATAAGAAATGATAAAATAAAAAAAAAGAATGTAGAAAAAGAGAAACCATACTTTGAGTACCCATGCAACCACTATATTTTTCACTTTCATCATACAGCATTCAGTAAATTACATGAGATACTTAACACTTTGTCATAAAACAGGATTTGTCTTAGATTATTTTGCCTAACTTTAAGTTAATGGAAATGTTATGAATATGTTTTAAGGTGAGTTAAGCTAAGCTATGATGTTCTGCAGGTTAGGTAATTTTGACTTAAGGTATTTTAAATTTATGATGGGTTTATAGGGTATAACCCCATCACAAGTTGAGGAGCACCTGTATATTTGTTCATAAATAGTAGGCATATACTACCAGATGAATTAACATTCTAAAACATGAATACAAAACAGATATTTAATTTTTTATTTTACTTTTTTCTACACCTTTTAAATTTACAGTTAATTTAGAACATTGTTACAGTGTACGAGATGGCTTTTTCCAGCATGAAGACTGTGTATCATGTCAAAGATATTACCATATGAATCATCAAGTAACTTTTCATTTGAGTATTCAAAACAGACATTTTTAAAATATAAAAGTGTTATTATATGAGGGGGGTCTCTAAAAAGCTCATGGAAAGACCGTGTTATAAAAAAAAGACCATGTGCATTTCAACGGGTTTTGTACCAATCAGCTGGCTCAGTGGTTCAGTAGAAACGAGCTGCTCAAGAAATGTGGAAGACCCTGTGTTTCAGTTCCCAATTGACCTGCACATGTCAGGTGCATGCTCTCATGATCCTGGCTGACTGAAAAGGCTGAGGGAGGATCACAGTTTGTGACCCTTTTAAAGGTGCTTATCTTTCTCTTTCTCAAAAGAAACATTTTGAAACACTTGAAATAAAATTTTGCACCAAAATAAACTTATACTTTAATTCCATTTTTCCACCCACTTTTTGAACCACCCTCATAAACAGTTCTTAGGTTTTTTTCCTGCACTCCACTTGGCAGACCACAGCTTTGAATCACACAGGAAAATAATCCAGCTGCTGTTGTCCATCCTTGCTAACTGGAATTTTTGTTTCTGTATTTTCAGGACATGTTCACATCACAGATTTCAACATAGCAACAGTTGTGAAAGGAACAGAAAAGGCTTCCTCCATGGCTGGCACCAAGCCCTACATGGGTGAGTGCTCTGGACCCCTTCTTTTGATATGATCAGATCCAGTGCCTGGGGCCTCAGCATCCTTCTCCTGCTCCATCTGCCTTCCCTCCCATGCCTTCCTCACATCCCCACATGAGGCCTCACTCCTTTATATGGGCCATACTCTCTTCCACTAAGGACCTCTCCCAGACCGTTGCTCTGCTAGGAAGAACCTTTCCCTTCCAGGGTTTCCCATAGAACTGCTCATCTCTTAGGCCTTGACTCAGACTTAGATGGGTGAAGGACAAAACCACTTTTTAATTGTTGGTTAAGGTCCAGTATTGTTGCCAGAATATGACTTGGTGTAGGTCATTATGGATCTGGATTCTTAGATTCACAGTACTCTTTTAAAGCAGTTTCAAATGAGGCTTTCCTCTAGGACTTTTTAGGAAAGTATCATTTTGGGTATGTCATCTGTTCTCTTGCTTTAGTTTCTTTTTTTTTTTTTTTTTTTTTGTTAAGGACACCTATTATCTGTATGTTGAATCTTCTTTGCCAAGTTTTAATATTTGGCATTTTCTTTCAAATCCCTTTTACCTATTTTTTTATTTCTTTGAATTTTGTTAGTTTTTTCCCCCTTAGGGCACATGCACTCACCAGAGAGAGACAGAGAGAGAAAAGGTGAGAAATCATCCCCCTCCCCAGGAAGGATGGCCACATCGCAGTCCCTTCTCTTCCATTAACATCTAGAGACTTGGGGCATGAATGCATGTGCATGCAATGTGATTTTCAAGCTGCAGAGTCTGGGACTCAAACCACTGTTGACCATGTGGGAGTTCAGTGCCTTGGCCACTATGCCACCTGGTGGCCCCAACTATTTCTTTAAGTTTCTCATTGTTACCCTTTTATTTCACTTATGGCATTATCTGTTGAATTTATTAGCATTGTATACTTTCTGGTAAAGTATTTCTGAAATAAATTTCCTCTTATTTCTGTTTTCCCTGAATTTCTTTGCTTAATTTATGAGGGTTTTGAATTCTAATTTATGTTCTTTTGTGTCTTGTATAATTTCCACAATGTATTTATTAGGTATTAATTTTAATGACTATATTAGTTACCAATTCCTATGTATCAAACTATGTTAAAATATAGTGACTTAGGACAGTTTTAATGCATTATTTCCCAAATAAATAATAGTTGGTTAACTGGTGGTTCTTCTGTTGGGTTTGACTGGGCTCACTAATGCACTCACCTGGTTGTTCAGCAGAGGACTGGACTCAGCTAGGACAGCTGGGATGGTCAGGTCTTTCTATACGGTCTTTCATCTTCAAGAGATCTAGAGTGAGCGTCCTCATGGTGGCAGTAAGGAGAACCCAGTTTCTACTTGCTTACCAAGACTCTGTGTGCCTCACATTTTCTAGGTTCAGTTGGTCAACGCAAGTCATATGCCCAACCAGGTGGAAAAAGACTTCATAGGGCATGAATACCAGAGTCTTGATATAGTAAAATATGTTACTTTTTGATCTTTTCCATTGACTATTTCTGGTATATCTTCATTGTGAGAGTGCTATCTTTTTTCTTCTTTTTCTTGTAATAACTTTGTATAGAACTTCACTTTGATGATTTTTTGTTGCTCACTTTTGTTTTATTTTTTATTGCCTGAGGATGTGTGCTCACCAGAGAAAGACAGAGAGGCAGAGATAGAGGAGAGAAGGAGAAAGTATCCTCCCACGATGGGGTATGGTCACATGCAATCATTTCTCCTCCATTTCTCCATCCTGTTTAGGATTTAGGGCCAGCACACACAAAGGCTGGTGTTTCTTGAGTTGCTGGGGTTGGAATTTGAATCGCATGGTCAGCCATGTGGGATGTCGCTCCCTTAAACACCAGGATGTAGGTGATTCATGCAGGGCCAGCCCCTAGAAAGCACAGGGACTGACAAGAGAGAGAGCAAGCATCTTCAATAGAGCACAGAGCATCACTTTGTGCAACCCTTCCCCCAATAGCACCTCAGGATCCTGGGTGACCATATGCATCTTTCAGGCCAACCCAAGATCTGACCTGTGGTCACCATATGGCTTCAGCACTTCAGGGCACTAGTACTATCACCAGTGGTAGCACTACTGCTGTTTCTCATTTTAATGTGAAATTAACTTTTCTGATCTTTTAGAAGATGGTTTCATATAAGATAGTTTTCCTAACTTAGACCTACCTTCTCTGTGGTTTTTGTAAAGTGTCAAAATCTAAGGCAGCTTATGTAGGTTTCCTGGCTCTGAGATTTCCTTTTTTTTTTTTTTTTTCATTTTTATCTTGACCTTCTCTTTCCTTGTCTGTAGATTCCCCATCCTTCTCCATTTTGGTCCCACTCTACACAGTTTTTCTTTGGAGTTCTGTTTTGCAAGGTTCTTTCCTCCTCCAAAGGGTAGGTTGAACAAAGACAGGGAGTTGGAAAAAGATGTGGAGCACTGATGTCATGTTCTTTTGGCTGAGTTTAGTGGGAGCTCACAGAGCTCTTAGCAGGCTCACAAAGCTCATAGCAGCACTCGCAGGTACTTCCTCCCTTGGAGTTTGTAACACGCAAGGAGAATGCTCCATCCTCCCTCTTGAAGCTCACAGTATGCATAGCTGAGTTGAGCTGAGCTAAGACTGAGCCAAGCCAAGGCCATTGTGGTTCACAAGCTGAACCAAGGCAAAGCTGTGTGGGGCTAACCAGCAGGGCGACCAGTGCAGGGCTAGCTGACCAGGTGCTCCCTTTCTCTTAAAGGGGGTGAAGACAACATTGGCTCATTGCCAAAACTAAATTATCACACACACGCTTTCCTAAAAGGAGCTCATGGCTGAATAGACTGAAGACCTTTTGTGTCACAAATTGCTCTGTCTCCTTCAGAACTTACCATCAGAACTTACCAAAGGCCTTTTTCACTCCCTGATTCTGAATTGGGCAAATTCCTGCCAGTTTCAGGTGCTGTTCTCATATGGGTCAGCTGCACTCCCCAGTGAATACCTTCTGGCTATTTGGGAGTTCTGTGGTCTGCTGGATGTTGCTTTCTTACTTTCCTGTTTCCTTCTGCACTGAAATCACTGCCATGGAGGTCTTGCTGCTATTAGTGTTTGTTCTCCCCACTTGTATTTTGGGAGTGTTGGGAACAACTTAATTGTGCAGTAAATGAGTTCCCAGGGATCTGTCTCTTGCTTCAACAGTGTTTGGATGGAACTGATCTGGGGACTCTTCTCAGCTTCCAACCACCTTCTAGTCTCTTCTCTAGTCATCGTCTCTGAGACCATCTTTTAGGCCATCTTCTGCCTCTTGGGACCAGCCAACACCATTTTATGGTTAGCTCCTCCTTATAGACCAACCACGAGCTCCCAGATTTGTCAGAACTATTCTACCAAGGTGGAGGCCGCTGTCAACCACACGGTCAATCTACATTTTCGAGCCTCTTACACCTACCTCTCGCTGGGCTTCTATTTCCACCTTGACACTGTGGTCCTGGAGGGCGTGGGCCACTGCTTTTGCAAGTTGGCCGAGGAGAAGCGCCAGGGCGTGGAGTGTCTGTCAAAGATGCAAAACCAGCACGGTGGCCATGCTCTTTTCCAAGACATGCAGAAGCCATCTCAGGATGAGTCAAGTGAAACCCTGGATGCCATGGAAGCCGCTCTGACCCTGGAGAAGACTCTGAACCAGGCCCTTTTGGATCTTCATGCTCTGGGTTCTACCCACACTGACCCCCATCTCTGCGACTTCTTCCTAGATGAGGAAGTGAAAGTCATCAAGATGGGCGACCACCTGACTAACCTCCATAGGCTGGGGGGCCCCCAAAGTGGGTTGGGCGAGTATCTCTTTGAAAGGCTCACCCTGAAGCACAAGTAGAGACCTCAAGAACCCAGGAGCCTGGAGTTCCTGCATCTCCTGGAGTCAGCTTCCAAGCTTCTCCCTCCAGCCACTTGGCAGCTTTCTAACCACCCCGGAACCCTCTCTAATGCCTTGGACCAAATGGAAATAAAGCTTATTGCAGCAATAAATAAATAAATAATAGTTTGAATATGAGATGATCTCAGAACGGTCAGATGCTCTCTAGGCACCTGGACAGTGGTGACAAATGGATGTGCAGGGGAGAGTTACCAAGACTGAGATGCAGCCCAGCCAGGGCCATCAGCAAGATCCTCCAGGCAAGATACTTGAGGGAAGGGGACCTGTTCCATTGCTCAAGGAATGCCATGCCAGAAAGGGCAAGTAGAGGCTGAGGGAAACATCACAAAGGGAGGGATGAAGAGAGATTGGTGAGATAAGGAAGAGTTCCTATTAGAGCCTCCTCTGAAATCCTTTTAACTGGTTCCGACTGCTTGTGGGATGTTTTCAAAGAGTAAATTGATCTGAAGGAATGTAGATCCTAGAACACTGGAGAAAATCAAAGCAATTTTCCCCCAGTTCTGACACATTTGTTCTGCCTTTTTTTTTTTTTTTTTTTTGAGAGGTTTTTGTTACAGGGATCATGTGAGATCACCAGAAAGACAGAGAGACAGACAGAAAGCAGGAAATCCCCCTCCCCAGGGTGTATGGCCATGCAGCAGTCCTTTCTCTCGGGATCTTACGTAGCCATTACACCAACTTCTGGTCCCACATCTGTCCTGCTTTTGAACCATGCACTTTCTAAGCCTCCACATGGGTCCTCCTAGACCTCACTCTATGGTTGAGTGTCTCAGGCAGCTCTGTCCTGGATCCCTTCCTCTGGGAAAGAAGAGCAGTGGTCACCCAGCAAGCCTCTCTTCACAGAAAACCCACTTGCAAAAGTATTGTGATTGTATTATTTGTCTGTCCGCTCATGTCATCATCAGAAGGCTCAGAAGCAGTTTCTGTATCTCTGTCATTTTACATATGAGGAACCTGTGGTCCAGAGAGGTTAATTAGCCTACCTAGGGTCACACAGTTGGAAAGTGATGGAAACACAATTTGAAACCAAGTATATGTTAGGTTTGATTTGGAATAAGCGGCAGAGTCAGAGGCAGCAAAGACGAAAATACCAGAGTCGGACCTTGGGGTT